TTCTTTTATAATTTTTCAAAAGGTGTCTTGGTGTCTCTTCAAAATGTTTTCATATTCAATGAATTTTCCAAGAGTTGCCTCATTTCAAAAGCCAATTAAATATATTTTTGTGTTCATTAACTATTTCTCATATTTTCACCAAGGGTTGCTTCAAACACCTCTTCAAAATTTCGTCCAAATTCATTTAATCATCAAATAACTATTTTTGGCGCGTAAGCGTGATGTACTGGGCGCTTAGACGCGAGCTTCTCTATTTTACTAGAGGGTAAGTGTCAGTTTTGGGCGCTTATGCGCCACAGTTCTTTTGAGCACATTCTTCATTTTTTCTTCAAATTTAATCATTTTTTACTTTTTCCATTATTTTTCATTCATTTGATTGTACATGAAAAAAAAACACACAAATACCTTCTATTAAATCACAAATTCTCAAAAATATATATAAAAACGCGTCCAATCTTTTATTTATGAAATGACACTCTATTTATAGAGAAATGAGATTCGATATATGAAGTTACAACTATACCTTTATTTTTCTGTGAATGTGCAATTATTATTGGTTTTTTACATATGTGAGACTTTAATTTGACCCTCCTCTGATTTTGTCAACCGAAGCTAGCTGATTCGGGTTTGTCGAGGCCTGTATTGAATTGGGTTTTCAGTCAACATTCGATGTTCTTTGAATTGTTTCAAGTTGACTCGATTGACCAGGTTAATCTGGTTGTCGACTATTGATCCCATGATAGGAAACTCTTGCTAGAATAATAGAACTGCAATATGGGTTAAAGGATAAATTACCCTATGATAGCTAATAGTTAGCTCACTCTTCAACAAGAGGGATCCTTCAAGACGTTATGTTGGGGTGCGTTGTGGCCGATTCTCGACCCAAAATGAGGAGTATCATGTGCCTCTATTGAGATAGCTGATAAATTTATGTCATTTCCATGAATAAGGTCATGAAGAGAGGCATATTAGTGCCTCCATTCAAGTCAATGAGTTTGATTTTGATGACTCTCGCTTGATCAGTCTTTAACCTTGACTAGAGGGGGTTGCACCCGACCAAACAAGTCTTCTGGTGTTCCGTAAGTGGAGCCTTCTGGCGTTGGACACCCTTGGTCTTCAACTGAGAGATCTTTGGTCTTCTGCCACCCTTGGTATTTTGCTCGTGAACCCCATTTTATTGTGCTCCTTTGTAACTATAGTTTGTGGGTCATGTTCTTTATGTATTAAAAAATTATTTTTCCTTTAAAAAGTCAATAAAATGGATATTTTTGATGTGATATTAAAAATTTTAATGTCACGTAAGTAAATATGAAAGATTATAGGATATATAATGTAAGTAAATATGAAAGATTATATGATATATAAACAGATGCGAATTAGATATTATGTAAGTAAATGTCACCAATTATTAGCTGCCACTTTTCTTGCCTTGTATCATGCATGGTCTCGTTGAGAGAAGCCATTAGCAAAAGAAAATATTACAGTCTGTAAATCGGGTGCCAAGTCGAGGGCGTGGATTGCACCACATTGCCAAACGCACGACATGATGCACACATACAATGAGATAATGTTAGTGTCCGGCAAGACCTTTCAACTCCATTATTAAATAATAAAGCTTAGACATCAAGTATATATAAATATGAAGATTTATATACATGCCTCACATTATCTATGTATTTATATTTCTAACACTTAAATTTATATATTGTATTTATACGACTTTGCCAATGCATAACAAGATATATTATGCTCTTAAAAGTTAGTGATAGTGATTATTTTGATGTGATATTGAAGATTTAATTGTTTTAAATATAAAAAGTAGAATTGAAGTACTATATGTATAAATTGAAATAAAATATGTATTATGGATGTAAATACCAAAAAATATAAATGTAAATAAGGAAAATTTACGTACTACCTCGGGTGTAAAAGTGTCGATCCGAGCTCAAGCCACCCTTACTTGAGCTCGAGC